CTGTTCAAGTTCAATATTAACGCGTCACTGTATAATAACTTTTAAATAAATGGCCACATTACTCAATGCGACAAAGATCGTTTCGTAGAGAATGAAAATGAACTTACACGTGCCCTCGCCATCGGTGTCCATCCGCCAACAATAACCTGGATTAACGAGCTTCCGGGAAGCAGTTGCTGGATACTTCCACCGCAGGGGTTTGCTGCTCAAAGCCTCGTGGTCGGATTCTACGCGATCGGTTTCGATGTTGACAGGACTCTGCCTCGATCCTGCCGCCATCGGGAATTTCGACACCCACGTGCTTGGCCCTGCAATGAGAAAATGAATCGTTAGTAAATCGGTTCAATATTTAACCATCCACGAACAATCTCATCGCATCAATTTTCACTTTTGATACTTCGAAGTGAATTTCTATATCCAATATTTGATTGAAGAACCGTTCGTAGACCAAAGTAGAGGCTTCAATGCGTGTCTCAGAATTTTTTCGGATTTTTTTTCAGAAACGACCCTGCAGAAAGCGTGAAAAATATCATCGCCCGCGGATACTTTGGTTGATATCTTCTGTAATTACGTTTCGTCTAGTTCTATTGTATCGATGTTCATTTAGGTTTACTTGAAGATAAAAGTGATACTTCAAAGTGTATCTATCTGGCGATTAACTGGATTAATTAACCATTGTCGTGTCGATCTTCGAGTACTCCGGCGCATGCTTGAAATATGAACGACCTGAATCACTTGTGTTACTGTGTGTAAACAACACGTAGTTGAATTTTTGTTGGCTAATGTGTGTAAGCTGATTGCACAGTTTGCAATTTGATGATACATGGCTGAACTAAAACTTTGTGTATAACTGCGCGATTAGATAAAATATCAAACGAGTAATTAATCGTGTTAAAGTTTAATGTTTGTCAGACTTTTGAAACGTGTTGTACATACCAATCATGTACATATCAAAAAACGGAAGTTTAATTAACTTGTACCGTGTACAATATCGCGTTTCTTTTCTTAACACGAGAGAAGAGATAGTGTATCAGAATTTAATTGAAAATTAATGAACTTCCTTTCTAAATGTACCCATGCATTCATGAAATGAAATATTTCTGGCATGTAAAGTGTTGCTTTCCTCGTGGAAGAACATTCTCTTTACTTCCTTTTTCTTTTTCAATGTGTAAATAGTATAATTAAGTTCGTGCAAATTATCGAGATTAAAAATTCGTGTCTCTCTTTCGAACGAATATTTTTCTTTTTTTTTTTTTTGCACACACACGCACATACGTGCGAAGATAACACGTGGCCAAGCAAATATTTAGAAAGGAATTAGCGTTAAATTCCCAGAGACTCGCGAGCTTCGAAATTGACAACGTCTATACGTTGTGTGTGAGAAGAAGCACGTGACAAAAGCTTCGGCCGTCGTATCTCTAATCACCGCGTGTTTTATGCCCTTGTTTAATCATTTTCATACAGATAACAGGTTTTAGCGTTCCAACTCTATAAATAATCCGGCAGTCTCGCGTTACGAGCAGCCGGTTTTAACGATACCTGGAGCGCAAACCAGCCACAATATACATTGGGATTATCAAACACGATGAATATTCGATGGTACAGTTTTACCAAGGAATTTTGCATTAAACATCAAACACTGAACATTAAACCTAGTGAGTAAAAAAGCAACGCCAAGTGGTTGCGCGATAGCGAATGATCAAACTTTTCGTCGATTTTCATAAACAATTCAAGAGACACTTCGTCACTAGAAGAGATCGCGATAGAAATTTGACGATTCGGAGATAAAAAAATGTTATAATTTAAATGAGGCGTGTTGCTGCTCACGAAAGTACTCTTGTTACACAGGTGTATCTCATGAATTAATTAAATGTGCATTATTACGAACGATAATTTTGTCTTCGTTACTGTGCCAATGAAATTAAAAACACAATATGAGTATCTTACAAACCATCGTGTGCTGAAAAAAAATTTTTTCCTTTTATTTATTAATAATAATTCCAGCCTCAAGGGACACAAGGAATGGTTAGTGACGAATTACTCGTCCTAATATTTCGTTTATAGATAAACTTGCGACAACTTCAACGTCATTCATCAAGATACTACAGATTAATAAAATGAGTTTACTCGCACCTATGGAAATACGCTTTTGCAATTCAATTGAAGATAACGATCGAGGCGTTTCAAAATTGCGCGCCAATGTTTGCACTGTTTCTTTTCCTTTCCTTTTCCCGTTTCCCTGCCCATCGATATGATGTAATTACTTACATTCGTCGTTGAGCAAACATTGACGCTAGCCGGTCGATCATTTTTTAACTATA